ATTATATATATATATATATATATATATATATATATATATATATATATATATATATATATATATATATGGGAAGAAGGGGTTAAGAATAGTAATAGGCACTGTTTTGTGATAGATTATCATCCAGCATTGAGGGTCCTTTATAATATCTTTAGGGAATTGCAAGAAATTGTAAGTTGGTCTGAAAGGTTTTTAAGTGTTATGCCGGAACCACCAATGGTGTGTTTTCGTCGGTCTAAAAATTTTAAAGATCACTTAGTCCGTTCTAAATTGAGAAGGGAAGAGGAAACGGTCGTAGGGATGTTTAGGTGCGGAAAGAAGAAATGTAAATTGTAAAATCTGTGACAATGTCATTATTGGTGCTTCTTTCAAAAGTCATGTTGAGGGGCGGTCTTTCTGCATTAATCATCGCTTCGATTGTGACTCGGAGGGTACAGTGTATTTGATTAGTTGTAAATTCTGTGGGTTGCAATATGTGGGGAATACCATAACACCGTTCAGATTGCGATTTAATTACCACAAGAGTGCATTAAATAGATATGGGCGGGGGCAGATAAATATTTGTGGGCAACAATTGTATGCCCATTTTTGGGGGGAAGGACATTCAGGTGTAAGTGATTTTTTAGTGCAGGTTATTGACGTCACGGACGTTAATAATCCCACTGAGAGGGAGAGCTTTTGGATTGAGAAACTTAATAGTTATGTCCCACGTGGGCTTAATTTAAGGGAAGAGGTTTAATTAATTTATGTATAGCTAAACGTTAGACTATTTAAGCAAGAGACGGAGATGATATAGCGTTATTCTGAAGAAGGAGCTTGTCCCCGAAACGTAAAAAATATAATTTATTTACTTTGAAGTTTTTGATTTCTTGATATTTATATATATATATATATATATATATATATATATATATATATATATATATATATATATATATATATATATATATATATATATATATATATATATATATATATACATACCCATATATTATACGTTTTAAAGCCAATCATTACAATAAAACTAATGCTCTATTTACAATTTAAAATTTAGAACATAAGAAAGGTATATAGGCTATATGTTGTCATAGTGTGCAGGTCCAAAATTGAATCAACAACATGACATGTTTAAAAATCGAATTACATTTTGAAAAATGTTTTCTTAAAACGACCAGTTCTACATTGGAACGACGACCAGTCCTTAAAATTACGTAAATTATATTACATTACCGTTTACCATGTATCAGTTATCTTTTTAATCGATCAAATATTAACAACCTTGCGGATGCATAGCTTTTTAATCGATCGAATATTAACACCCTTGCTTGCAGCCTTCGATCTCATCGTCAATAATATTACATTTGGCATACAGTCTGCGTTTCGACAGCAGTTTCCTGTATTCGTCGTGTTTGAACCAAAGTGGCAACGTGGCGTTTATATAACACTTTGTGGGATTACGTTAGCGGAATAGCGGCCAACAAAATACACCTGATGGTCTATTGCCAGTCAAGGGCCTTTGACCAGAAGGTCTATTGATGTAATACTGTAAATCGTTGATTATTGCGTAAGATAATTGTTGTTATTATTTATTTAAAAAATTCCTAGTTTCTGATTGTCTAACAACCAACGTGAAATTGTCATATCAACTCAATGGCTAACCAAATATGGATTTTTCACATTCATGTTAGCAAAATGACATCAAAGAGTCAATATGAAAAACATTTGGACGCGTTTGCGCCATATTACTATGGCGACGAGAATCATATTGACTCGCTGACGCCATTGATGTGACGACGACGACGGCTGCCGAAGGACTAAGGAATTGTTTTTTCTTAATACAAATAAAATATAAATGGCTTCTTCTGTTTGTTTTGAACTTTATAAATAAATAAATAAATAATAAAACAATTATGGAATTCGGTTTTCGCACAATATGAAGAATTATCAAGCCGCTATAAACCTCAGCCTTTCGCTTCGGTTGATAACGGCAAATTTCGTCATATCGTGCTCAACCTCATTCACTAATTGTTAATTATATTTTAATTCTTTACAGTGAAACCCGAAATTAAGATGGAAAAGATATATAGATACAGGAAAGGAATGATGATTGAATGTACATTAAAAAGAAGTAATCCGCCAGAAGTAAATTACTCCTGGTATTCGCTTGACACAAACATTTCGAAATTAATCGAAAAATTACCTATCTTACGACTTGACAGTCAATCAAAAGTGGTGATGAACTATAGGTGCAGGGCCGAGAACACTGCTGGCAGTACATCTAAAATCATTGAGGTGTTCAAGGCTGGTGTCTGTAGTGAACGTAAGTGTACCAAATCTCACAATTTGAAATTATAGATTGAATGCCGTCAGAATACATACATACATATAAAGATAGATTACAAATTGTATATTTATGACAATGATTATTCTGTATACTATAGAAACACATGGATACAAAAATCCCTCATCTTTTTAAGCTACCTACCCATTGTTTTAGCATGAAGTTTTCTAAATTACGGCAACCTTGAACGCAGACTCGCGTCGCTCGCGACGATCAGTTTTGTATCTGCGAAGCAGATATATATGCTATCGCAAACGTACCGTACCGTATCCCTAGCCATTAAGCGACGAGCTTATATAGTTCAGCCAATTTAGGCCAATTTAAGCCAATCAGCGATCAGTTTACATCAATTATTTACATCGTGCCCGCATCTAACCTGCGAACGGGCGGCGTTTGGCCTCGTGTTATTCTTAATAGCCATTTTCACATTTTGGCTTCAAAAATATCTTGATTTTGGGTTTTTTACGTTCCATTCTACTTGCGATATTATTCCGAAGTTATTTATCAATACGGAAACTTATCCTCATCTGGTAAGTAGTCAAATACCACATATTTCTTATTTTATTATATAGTTATACAGTAAAACAATCATTGTGTTGTGTAATATTTTAAACAGTCAAAACATACATGTAGCAGGCAAAGTATTTGTCAATGAATAATGTCATAGGAAACTAATGTTCTCAGGAGATATTGAATTAAATCCTGGTCTTGCATTTCTGTAGTAAACTCTGTTCCATGTTATCAGTTAAAATACTTATACATTTTTGTTTTACAGTGATTAGAGTTTTTAAACAAAATGTTTACAAACATTTTCAAATGCTGATAAAAGAATCCCCACTCTCTCTCCTTATTATATTGTTATTTTGCTTTCTAACATAAATGTTTTTGTTTAGAGATTAATGCAAGAATGATGAATAAATGTACTGGATATTGGCTAGATAATTTTGTCAGAACAACCCACTTGCAAGACAATCTTACCTAAATTCATTAGTATGGATAATAACTTAACAGCTACAATAATCATATATCATATGGATGGATCAGATCAATGGCACACAATATGTACAAAACTAAACTTGTGATACCTTCTACTCAAACTGATATTCTCCCACAATACAAATTGTTTTTGTGTGGATATGCTGTGTTAAACCGAAAAGTGTGGTATATCATTAATTAGAACATGATCACACCCACTCGGCCAATCAGAACACAGTATTTCAGTGGTCTATATCCCATAGTATATTAATTCGTCAAGTGGTGTGGGCTTTGAAGCACTCTTCTATATAGAGCATACTAATGAGTCTATTGTTTTCTTTTGTTTTGTAGCTTCATTAGTATGCTCTATATAGAGCGTACCAGTGACCACATAGAGCATACTAATGAGTTACATTTGAAGGCGTCAAAGACAAATTGTTTACTGCAAAAAGTTTTATTTAATATAAAGCTCAAAAATACAGCTGTACCTTCACACAATCCTTACACAAATACAAACACACACAAATACACACACACACACTCAACACTCCCATGCATGCACACACACGCCAGTCCGAGATATAACAAATGAGTATCGTTCAGTAACCAGTATAGTGCCTGACGACGAGAACAGTTCTTCGTCTGCTAACGTTAAAGGATCTGTCTGTCACATTTTTCGTCGTGCTAATGGCAGCATTTGTCATTTCTTTCATCTTTGAATCCAAAGTTCTAAATGATGAAAAATTGGAGTCGTTCTTTGCCAGGATGTTCAAATGAAACCTCATATATAAGATCGTCTTTGAAATGTCTGAATAACCCGCAGTAACAATGTTACATAAACTGTTCGCTGGGTATGACAGTTATGGCTTGCCACCTCTCCTAGCTTCCAAAAACAAATCTTGTTAACCAATAGTCCAGAAAGCAAGAAATCACTTGCAAGAAATCTTGTGTCGCATTAATCGCTACAAGTTGCTTCGCTGCGACAGCCCCGTCCATGCTTTCGAAAAACGCCTATGCCAATTACTGACATATTAATGAACCCTAAAACCGAACAATCAAACGCTGAAAACCAAACAAAGACCAAACATTGTAGTTAAAATCCCTTCGGCAAAACAAACTAATGCCCGATTAAAAAACCTACTTCATCATAATTAAAAAGGAACAATACTAATTATTTGTTAACAATGCACCTAATTAAAACAGACATTCCTCGTGAGGGTGATCATGTTCTAAGTCGGATAGACAATGATCACTTGTGTTCAGTGGGATTATAGACTCCCTCGAATTAGTTAGACTGCCACTCGGGCCTTCGGCCCTTGTGGCCGTCTAACTAATTCTCTGGAGTCTATATCCCACTGAACACACGTGATCATTGTCTATCCTATACCTGTGCACAGGTTGGAATTGGATTATATACTTCACTCATGACCTTCAAAACATTCTCTACTATTCAGTGGTCTTTGATATATGATTGACTCTTCGCTACAGTGATGCATGTTCCTTGAATAGTTTGTGTATGATATTTGTGGTGTTACTCTGAGTGTATATCGACACCGGGCGAGCTTGAAAAATATGCCCGGCCACGGTGGGATTCGAACCTACGACCTTTGGAATACTAGCCCAATGCTATTCCAACTGAGCTACGCGGTCAGGACGGTTCGAGTAAGTGATATTTCAGAACAGGATCTAGTTCCTTCGATACCAATGTATTCTAGTAATATGAATTTTTTCTGTGTTGGTGTAGTGTACTAAGGTGAATATGATATTTGTGGTGTTGTTCTGAGTGTATATCCACACCGGGCGAGCTTAAAAAATATGCCCGGCCACGGTGGGATTCGAACCTACGACCTTTGGAATACTAGCCCAATGCTCTTCCAACTGAGCTACGCGGTCAGGACGGTTCGAGTAAGTGATATTTCGGAACAGAATCTAGTTCCTTCGATACCAATGTATTCTAGTAATATGAATTTTTTTCTACTAGAATACATTGGTACAGAATACATTGGTACAGAATACATTGGTACTAGAATACTCACCTGAGTACACTACACCAACACAGAAAAAAATTCATATTACTAGAATACATTGGTATCGAAGGAACTAGATTCTGTTCCGAAATATCACTTACTCGAACCGTCCTGACCGCGTAGCTCAGTTGGAAGAGCATTGGGCTAGTATTCGTAGGTTCGAATTCCACCGTGGCCGGGCATATTTTTCAAGCTCGCCTATGAAGTTTTTTAGCGGACAAAATATCTGAAATGGATCAATCGAGTTTATGCGCTATAAATTGATGTTATGTGCTATACACTGATGTTATGTGCAAATACATCGATGTCATAAACCGATACAACTAAAAGATAAACCGATACAACTAAAAGATAAATCGATACAACTAAAAGATAAACCGATACAAATAAAAGATGAGGAAACGGAAATAAATACCAATAAAAGATGAGGAAACGGAAGTAAATACCAAAAAAAGATGAGGAAGCGGAAGTAAATTGGAAAAACGGAAGTGGAGCGACGCGGCAAAATTGCGCGTGCCAAGCTGGTGAATACATATTGAAAAACATGGCAGAAGAAAGACAGGGCAGAATACCAAATGTTAAGGATTTTGTTCAGTCTATCTTAAGCGCGGTGGCCAATTTACAGCATTCTTCGCAAACACGTGAAGAAAACGCATAACAAGGTGGTTCAGTGCAGGGCCGGATTAATCACGTGGCAGATGTGGCATATGCCGCGGGCCTCGCGCTTATGGGGGCCTCGTGCTTTACTGTGCCACGCCCATTTTTACGAGAACACGCCTATTTTCTATTGGGACATGCCCATTTCAGGTGCCTCGCGAATTTAGACGCCCCGCGAATTTAGGGACCTCGCGCATTTAGGGCCCCTAGGCTTGGCAGTTGACCCCAGGAAAATATACAATTCTCGTATGCATGTAATCTCCAGTTGCGCTGAACTGTTATATATGATCCTGTTTACACTTGTTGACCCAACAACAACTGGGCCAGGCAGGCAATTAATTGTTTATAATTGATGCCAATCAATTGAAATATTGAAAGCAATTATTTAACAATTTTGTGTGTGTTTGAATTCAAAGGTTTTCACAACGGGGTTGGGGGCCTCGCGCTAAAATCTGCCACGGGCCTCGCGCAACGTTAATCCGGTCCTGGTTCAGTGCAGCAGTCAACATCGTTACCCGAAGACTGAATTTTATACACACGACTATCTCTTTCTCTCGCCTTATATGTCTTTCTCTCGCCTTACATGCCTCCATACAAGCTTTTTAGTACAGCGAGATCATACTCCTTGAGTATGATCAAATTTTTTTACACCACAGGATATTTTACCGGTACAATTTCACACACGCATCCCATAAAAAGTCTACCCCTACACTTATATTTCTTAGGTTCAAATTTATACATATGCAAGTGGTTTTTTATTTTTTATTCTTAGGCTTATCAAATACAACACATTTAGGGACTATTGTGGTATAAATTTATTACTAGGATAGCAATATGGTTCTCATTACCTATATCTAAACTTAAAAAGAGCAATGTGGTTTATAACTGCTCTTCTTTGACTTGTATTATTGGCCTACCAACGAGCTCGTTTCTTTCGGCCGTACAAAGCGCACGATCGTAAGACTCTTCTAGTGAAAAGCGCTCTGAGGTCCGTTCATAATTTTCAACAATAACGTCGAATTTATTTCGTAAAGTATGATTCGGTGATTCTTGTTGTTAAAACACTCAATGTGCGTTCATACTCTTCTAATCTACGACAATAAAAGTCTGGCGAGTCACAATGAGTGCGACTTTGTTCAGCATTTCTTATTAAATCAACCAATTCACGAAAAACGTTTTCTGTATTAGGAAGCCAAATGCGTGGTCCAAGAGACGCCATTGTTGTATGCCGCCGCGTCGCTCAACTTCTGTTTTTCCGATTTGCTTCTGCTTCCTCATCTTTTATTGGTATTTACTTCCGTTTCCTCATCTTTTATTTGTATCGGTTTATCTTTTAGTTGTATCGGTTTATCTTTTAGTTGTATCGGTTTATGACATCGATGTATTTGCACATAACATCAATTTATAGCGCATAAACTCGATTGATACATTTCAGATATTTTGTCCACTAAAAAATTTCATACTCGCCCGGTGTGGATATACACTCAGAGTAACACCACAAATATCATATTCACCTGAGTACACTACACCAACACAGAAAAAAAATCATAGTTTGTGTGTGTTACTCAACAGTTAATGTTGGCAAGTGTAAACAACAAGTGACAGAACTTCTGCTTCATATGATTACAATAAAGTTTTGAAAATGGGTATGGATTGACAAGTGACAGTTTACTAAATAGACACTTCGAATATTGTTTGCATGAAATTTTTATTTTTTGACCGCATAATTATCCGAGTTACAATAGGTCGTTCCAGAAAAAAACCGTACTCCCCCCACAGAGGAAATTTCTGCCGTCTTGGGGGGGGATTGTTTCTGATAATTGGTAAATGTGTTAGGACATGCGAAGGGAGTAGGGGGGTTAACTTCCTATTTCCTATGTGGGGGTGGTATGGATGTTTTCTGGAATGACACAATTGTAATCACATAAATCGTAATCACATCTCCGCGGTGGGGGGTTGTGAGTTGACCCTGCTGCCCTCCATGCTGTCACAGAATATGAAGGTACAGCAGAAGTGTAACTCGAGTCGGTTCTCTTATTGTTTTACATCCACGAAAATTTTAACTCCCTCACACCATCCTGGCTAGTACAACCGGAAGCTTTTATCAAGTTTTAGTAGATGCTAAGTGTCGGTTGTACTAGCCAGTATGCCGTGATTGATGACGAATCACTTGTAAAAACGCGGACAAATATTTACTTGAGTTACAGTTTGGCTGTACTTGCTGTAATGCGTTTTGGTAGAAGAAGAAAACAAAGGTCTTAAAGCTGAAGTGTTGAGGCTTAACAAAATTGCTCAACGACACGAAGGCGATATCAATTATTTACAGCAATACTCTAGGCGAGACTGTGTAAAGATAGCTTGACTTCCCCGTAAAAAAGAGGAAAATACAGATGAGCTCGTAATCAAAGTTGGTTCTCTAATGGGACTAAATTTACAGAAGACGGATAATTCTATCAGTCATCATTTGCCACAAAATACACAAAAGTACAGCTCTCGATTGAGACTTAGGGAAGGAGCCACAATCGCCCAATTTCCCAAGGTTATGGTTAAATTTATTAAAAGAGAGACAAAGGAGGAGTTCCACCAAGGAAAAAAGCAGCTTTTCCACAAGACAACAAAATATATTGAACTTGCTAGACTATCAGATAACCGAGTCTTCAATGCTGAAGGACTAAGTCCAAGGAACAAGGAGTTATTTGCATTGTCGTTGAAGTTAAAGGAGGACAAAAAATTCAAGTTTATATGGACACACTCGGGTCGTATTTATCTTAGAAAGGACAATGATTCACCTGATCAGTTGATTACAAGCCAAGATGATTCAAACTATTTAAGATAACGCCATATTAGTTATCTATCTGCTATGTCTATGACAAATACACACTATAATGTCCTACCTCGGCTACACATTAATTGCTATTTTGTCAAATATTCCAATGCTCTGATGCGGAGAGATGTGGCTCTGATGCGGAAAGAAATGTGTTGGATCACATATGTATATTTTAACTATTATTCCATTTCTAGTTTTAAATCAGGTGTAGGAAATAAGCAATTGATCTACGTACCAGATTCGTTTTCAATTCGGCACAGTAATGTGAGAAGTTTATCAGCAAATTGTGATAAACAGATAGCCTTATTGTCGTCAAACTTAAATTTTCTGTTATTGGTCTAACTGAGACGAAAATAAAGTCATCAGTCTCTAATGTTACTATCGATGGATATCATTTTAACATCAGGTGTGGGGCTCTATATAAGAGATGATTGTGAATTTCACGTTAGGGATGATTTTACAGTATCAACAAATTTATGTCTGTCCCTGGAGATTCACTGTCAGTCTCAGAGCAATATTATATGTTCAGTAATCTGCAGGCATCCAGAAAGTACTTCAATCTCGTTCCCCTGCTCTTCCCTCTTGTGGAGGAAAGAACCTGGTTGGAGCTGATCACGTGAACCATTGATAGCCTAAGAGGGGGATGGGAAAGTCGCATATTAAAGGAATACCGAATGGTTTTGCGTGCAGGATTGCGTGATCCATGCACGCGGGATATTGCGAGACTTTCGGAAAGCGTAAAAATACACGAGCCGTAGGCGAGTGTATTTTTACGCTTTCCGAATGTCGAGCAACATCCCAACTGCATGGATCATGCTATCCTGCACGGGAAAACCATTTGGTAAACTAAAAATGATAGGTTTTACTAAATCTTTTCCTGTGCAATTATTACTAGCATTGGAGACAAGGATAGTAGTTTGTTTGAAAGAGAAAAGAACAGGCTTTGAAGTAAGCCTAAAAGCGTTTAACTAGAAATAGTATTTCGAAAGTTATTAAGCACAAAAGATGAATTGCGTTTATTTTGATACACCCTGTAGAACGGACAGTCAGGAAATCAAGCAACGAAAACGTATGATCGTTTGCTTTAAAATATTTCCCTATTCTCTTGGGATTCCGGCGCAAATTCATTTCGCGCGTACGTTTCTGTTCTGCCTTAGGTTCAGATATTTAAAATATTCTTATAATATGCCATTGAAAAAATAGTAGATACTCCAAAAATTGAAAGCATTTTGAAAAATTTATTTCGACGTTTTGACTAAACTATAGTCATCATCAGGAAATGAATGATGATGATATTACATATGTACAAGTACATATAGTGAAGTAAAAAGATACGATTAGTTAAATATTAATAGATCTTTAGAGGCTTTAGTTCCATGGTTTAGGGACGGTTACATTCTATTAATAGCAATAGATTCTTGATAAAGTATCAACGACCAGTGATTGGATTTATCTATTATCTTAGTGTTAGTAAATATTAAATCTGTTACTGACAGAAGCGCCGGAGAATCGATAATTGGGGCAGATTCATATATTCGTGTTCTGCCCAATTAATTTCTTTTGAAATCGATTGATTTTCCAGTCTGTGAACACGAATATATGAATATCTGCCCCCGCTATTATCGATTCTCCGGCGCCTCTGGTTACTGAACATTTAATGTTATTAACTTCATCATTAAGTGTTAGTTCGAGTAGGTCTAAACTAATATCATCAACTCTAACGAAATGTACTCTTAAGTAAGTTGATACTTGACTCCTGTACTAAAACTATTTTCTCACTCAATGGTGAATACTATAAACAAACTGATGGCGTTTCTATGGGATCACCATTATGTCCAACCTTAGCTAATATAATAAAGACAGAATTTGGAACTGTAATCATCAAACCACTAATCAATTCTGGAATAATTGTCTATTATAAGCGCTACGTAGATGACACTTTAGTTCTTGCGAAGCCCACTGACATTAAACATATACTTAATACTTTCAATACCTTCGACAGTCAAATACAATTCACTGTTGACCAATTTCCTGACAATGTCATACACTTCCGAGACATCCAAATACTTCCTAATGGTACTACTGTCTACCGCAAGCAAACCCATACTGGTCAATACCAACATTACTCAAGCTACACATCATGGTCAAGAAAGATTTCCTGGATACGTGCCTTCATTCATCGTGCCCACAAAATTTGTAGCAATGATAAACTCCTTAATCTTGAACTAAATAATATTGCCTCTTTCATGTCATGGAATGGATTCCCTCGAAAACTTTCTAGAAAACTTTTAACATTGGTCAAACCTTCTTCTCCTAACCCAATAACTCTAATAATGCTGTCATTGACCCCACTACAACCAAGATCTGGATTCATTTACCTATCCTCCGTAAATATGGAACTAAGCTCACCAATAACTTCATTCGAAAAATAAGTCCTCTACTGAAATCCCCTTGCAAATTTATCGCCAACTGGAAAACTACTGATACTAATTGCTTCATCTCACTTAAAGACCCAACACCAAAAACGTATCAAAGCTCCGTTGTGTATGAATTCAAATGCCCTGAATGTAATGCTAACTACGTAGGAAAAACTAATTGCTACCTATATACCCGTATTAAAGAGCATTCTTCTCTTCACTCTTCTGAAATATATAACCATATTACTAGCTGTAATGAATTCAATTTTGTGATAAACCTACTCGAACTAACACCTAATGACGAAGTTTCCCTGTCACAAAATGAGAGTTTATATTTTCGAAATCTATGATACAAAATATACGGAAATTCGAAAACAGAATCGAAACTGCTTTTTTAGTGCCGTAAAAGTTATTGCCGTTTAAACATTGAATTTGGCCTTGTGAAAAATCTGAAAACCGCGCAAAAAAAAACTGGGACGAAACAATGCGTGTGACGTAATAGTAGGGACTTATCTCAGCTCACTAATATAGAAATACTATTGCATGTATTATCATAAAGGGGGCAATAGCGCAAATAAAAGTCACGAAACTGAAAAATTGCCGAATATATGTGTAGTCCGCGGTTGTTCTAATGTCACAGATACAGAGAATAGCATTTCACTTCATTTTATACCTTATACTGGAGGCGAGAAGCACGAAGCGAAAAGGAGACGGGTTGACTTAGTGCACCTTATTAAAACGAGCAATGAGATCCAATGTTCAGCATACTTTGCGAAGATAGAGTTTGCTGGTAAAACCACGGTTAGCTACCGACGAAATTGGTTTCGTTGCAATTCCAAAATATACAAATACTGTCGACGACAAACCTTTGTCTGCTAGAGCCAAGAGAATGCTATATGTACATAATTGATACTCTGACTAATTTCGTTTATCATGCACTTGAATATGGTCTGGTGCAATTTTTATTCCAAATTCGTTATTTAAAAAGGTTGTATTATTAATAAGAAGCTGCTTCGATGCAGTCAACCTATATGGTCATAGTCACGAAACTGGAAAGCGCGATAAATATAAATGAGCCACAGCCAATGGATTCACCAAAAATATAAAATATCGCGGCAATATAGCTATGCGGACTATGAGTGAATATGGTCAAAATATAGCGGATGAAGACCAATTTCTTACGTCTAGAAGCAAAGTGTACTGTTTGTATTTTAGTTTAGACAGGTAAAGTAGAATTGTATAAGTAAGTAAATTATATATACACTCGTTATGTTTGCACCGCAGTGAAAACCCGTACAATATGCAGATTTTGTAACAAATTGTGGCATGAAACCAGATACACTGTGGGGGTCTGTATAAAATGTTTTACAAAGTATAGACAGTATAATCCATTGAAGCAACTTAATGAAATAACTTAGTCATCGCCGCATTTGCTAGTATAAGGCAGTGCCTGGAACGAAATACAATCAGAAAAATTCCTAAACGCGCTACAATATATTGCACAAATTAACCCGCACGCACGCACGCACGCACGCACGCACGCACGCATGCACGAAGTGCAGGAAAACATCAGATACAAATCTTAATATCAAATTTCAGTCTCTTTGGCAAAACAACTGAAGTCATGAATATAGCAAATGTGCTGTTTCTACACGCAATACAGTATAATGTTACTACGCTTATACAGTGTAATAGGTTTATTTATTGAAAAATAATTATATAATATCAAGAGCTGTCCTCTACAAATCCTGCAA